TAACTAGTTACTTCTTAATATTAAGCTTTAAAAGTCGATAGCGTTAAATTTAAATTAAGCTTATAAAATAAGAGTCTTTATCTATAAATAGAGAATTATTAAATATAATATTTCGACGATTATTATTTTCGTTAATAGTATTATTAGAATTTTTATTAATATTAGAATTAGTATTATAATCGCTTAATTATATAATAGACGTATTCTAATAAAAGTCGTTTATTAGATTAAAAATATCGTCTATAGATTATAATGAGACGTTTCTACTTCGCAAATTAATAAAATTAACTCGCGAGTTACTTATTATAGCTAAATTAGATAATTTTATATAAATGAAATTATTAGAATTATAAGATAGTAAGATCTCTTTTAATAAAACTATATAATAATTATATAATTATAAGATCTAGATATATAATTAATAGAATAAATAAATTAGTTATTAGATAAACTAATAACTAAAAAAAGAAGAAGAGAAAAGAGAACTTATAAATATTTAAGACTTTATTAAATATATTAAATACTCGCTCTAACTACGTAGCTTATAGTCTAGCAAGCGACGTAAGTAAGCCTATTAGTTCGCTTTAAGTACTTTCACCCTTATATAATATCGCTATCGCTAGTAATATTAGAAGTAATATTATTATCGCTAATAGAGTTAGAGAAATAAAGATTTACTTCGTTATAAGTTCTTTTATTATATTTTACTTCGCCGTAAATATTATATTAATAACTTCTCTTTAACTTATTATAAGCTCTTTTATTAAGTTAAATTCTTCTCTTTTTTAATCGCCTTAATTAGAGTATAATTAGAGAAGTAATATAGCCTTTTATAACTTTAAGATTTATTACTTAAATCGACTTTATTATAAAGTCTTAATTATAAATATTTCGATATATCGAAATAAAGTATTTATCGCTAATATAATCTTTTACTTTAAGATAATAATAGCGATATATTATTATAGCGTATTTATAGAGTAATTAATTATCTTAATAGTCGATATAAATATACTCTTAGATAAGAAGTTTAATAATATACTTAGTATTATTAGAAGATTAAATTATTATACGATATTAATTAGACGATATCGTCTTATATATTTAATTACTTATTTATATATTATCGAGATATTTTTATACGTAGTCGATAAGCCGCTTTTCTTTAAACTCTTTACGCTATCGAGTAAATATCTTTATTATTATAATATTTTAAATATCGATTATAAGATAAACTATCGAGCGATCTCTTATATCTAATTAATACGCGTTCTAACTCTTATAAATATTAGAGATAAATTAATTATAACGAGAATAGTCGAAAGCGTAGATACTATATTACTTTAAAAAAATCTTATAAATATAGTTATTATATTTATTATATATCTCTCGAATCTTTAGAATCGAGTCTTTAAAGAAAGTCTTATTCTTTATATAAGTATATCTCTAAAAGAGCTTTATATACTTCTTATCGAACCTCTTTTCTATATTCCTCTTAAGATAAAAGATATAAAAAGCGTATTTTATATATAAGAAGTTTTTATAAATAGCTGAAATTAAACCCTTAGCTCGATTATTTATAATAATAAAGTTATTCTTATCTACGCCCGATAGATAAGAATAATATATTCTTAGAAACCAAGTCTAATACTTCTCGAACTCGATGGGAATTAAGACCTATATTATTAATAGAATCTTATTATTATTATTAAGAGTAATAATAGCAAATAACGTTATTCGATGATTTATAGTATAATATACTTCGTTTATAATAAAGAAATTACGAATATACTTAGAAGTATAGATCGTAATAATTAGAAATACTTTATATTAAATAAATCGATCTCTTATATTAATATTTAATTTTATTTATACTATACGTTAATTATTAGCTATATTATCTCTTATCTTTATAAGTAAAATAAATATCTTTTAAAAAGATTACGTCTTATTACTATAAAGTATTTATTAAATACTCGCTTTAGCTCGATAAGCTTATATATAAAAAAGGCTAACTTTATAATTTACTCTCTTATTAATTCTAATATACTTAATTATTATAGTCGGGTCTACTATAATAATCGCTATAATTCTTAAATTCGAGATAATTGGTTTTATAAAACGCTTATATTTTTAATTCTTATAAGTGGATATCGAATAGATATATAGATTATTAACGATAAGCTTTTAAGTATCGATCTTTTCGTAAAGAAATTTAATTCGAAAGTTATATTCGTTATAAAGTCTATATCGTATAATTTAATACTTATTCTTAGCCGTTTTATAGTACTTCTATAACTATAATTTTCGAGAGATCTTATAAGTACTAGCTAATTAAGCCTTCTTTAATAATAAAAATATAGTTTTAAAAGAAAGATTTATTATTATTAAATAAAGAATATATTAAAGAAGAAAGAAGAAATAGACGAAAAGATAGAAAGCGGGATAAGAAGAATTAAGACTATTTTATATATAGCTAGCTAATTTAAACTAATAAATCATTTAAGAAAATCTCGAATATCGTATTTTTAAACGAATTAAAATTATTCGAAGTCCTTTAGATACGCTAAGGCCTTATTTTTTAGTATTTAGAAAAAAATTCCTTAGGTCTATATTATTTAACGATTACTTTATATAAGTTTAATTAGATATACTTCTCTTATTAATATACGTATAGAAATCGCCTAAAGCTATTATACGTTATACGTAGACCTTACTATCGCCGTTAATAACCTCGATCGATATCGACTATATAATATCTCGTAAAGAAAACTATTAAAACTTATTTAATATTAATTTTAAGTTTAATAACTACGACTTAAATATAGTTCGAAAGACCTCGATTAATTAAATTATATTATTTTACTACTATTTCTTAATATAATATTCTTAAATATTAAATCTAAAATAATTATTTTATAGCGAAATACCTTTTTAGTAATTACTCCCTTATTTTTTAATTAATCTTTATTAAAACGAAGCCCCTTAACGCTTTAATAGTATACTCGCGAAAAGAGTTATAGTATATCTAGAAAGTATAATATTACTATCGCCGTTATTAATATAAGAATATCTTCTCCGCTTCGTATTTAAAATATAAAATTATTAAATAACTTTATATTTATATAACTAATCTCGTAACGAACTTTAAAGTACTCGAAAGAGTAGTATTTAAAGTATTTATAGTCTTTACCGCGCCTTAAACGGTTAAAAGACGAGTCTACTAAACCCTTATAAAAAAATTACTCTATTTACTTACTCGCTTATAATATTTACTTACTTACTTACTTATAATATTTACTTACTTACTTACTTATAATATTTACTTACTTACTTACTTACTTATAATACTTATAATACTTACTTACTTACTTACTTATATTATTATAGCGATATTCTAGACTCTAATCTAGCTTAATATTAAATTACTACTCTTTAAGATCTATAATTTAATTCTAGCTATAATTAAAAAAAAATATAAATCTCGAAGAAAAGAATTATACTATTAAGTAATATACTCTAATAAATAATTTTTTAGATTACGTAAGCTAATTTCTTTAAGATCGTTTTTCTACGATACTTGATAGTATATATACTATAGAAAGAAATATATATACTTCGATATTGTCGAGCTTTTTTATAAACTAATAACTATATTTTTTACTAGACTATAAAGTCTAAAAACTTTTATACTTTATCGAATACTATTTAACTATTTAACTCGTAAATAAAAATTTAGTCTTTTAATCTATTTATACTCTATTTTAATAATTAATAAAGCTCTTACACACATCGAGTAACTAATAAAGCTCTCACATATATTGTAATTACACTTTACACTTCCAAGGCACAAAGACGACTATATCTATAAGTTAATAGCATCTTATATTTTTATATCCTAAGAAATAGTAATTTATATTTTCATACCCCAAGTAATAGCAACTTATAAATTCATACCTTATTTTTTTAGTGAGGGGTATAAAAATGTAAGATGGGGTATAAATTTGTAAGGATCGCATAGTTTGGGGTATGAATTTGTAATTTGCCCCATCACTAATGGAGACGGAGAAGTCGAGCGTGTGTTGGCGAAAATGGTTGTGCAGCGGCAACGTTGCAGCCTCGCTTCTGCAAGCCACCTGTAGGCAGCCGAAGACATCTTGAACGGTCGGTGATGTTCCCTTAAGCCTTCCCGCCTCCGTTGGCTTTCGTTCCAGTTTTGGAACTTCACAAATTGACAAGATAGTGACTTTGGATTGGATACCGTTCTGCGGAGACCTCCAGCGATCGTGCTCTTATTCTTCGAGTATCCCCCTCGTACGACATCAAGGCTACAGTTCTCTTCGAGTCCCGAAGCGGAAACATTTTCTGTGCAAGATGCCGCTGTGGCTCCCATCATTCGTTCCAGTGAAGATTGAGTAGAATCCAAATAATTCGTAACAGTCATGATAAGTCGGACAACGTTGAACCCTTTGCGAAACGCACGATTCGAGATGTCCAAAATGCTTCCACCTCGAGCTGAACAAGCTCGACGACAGGCGGGACTTATTGAAGTGTGTGGAACGCAGCCAGGACCGTGGTAAAATACCCAAATCATGATGGGAACTGAACAGTTAGTCAGCCTTTCTTCATTATCTCATAGGCGACAGCGTGCCTACTAAGAACCCAGCTTCACCTATAAAAAGTGGCTGATCCACAAGAAGGCTTTATTTATATAGAAGTGGTCTCAAATAACCTAAAAAAATACTTTCAACGTATAAAAATATGTATCGAGATCAGGTCTAATGCGGTACATCTACTGCCGCCACTGTACGTATCCTCAGCAAGGGTATCATATCTGACATGACACAACATCACCCCGGTACAATCCTAAAACATCGCGCCCTGCGGGTCCGTTGAAACCCCCCGTTTATCTTTTACTCTTCATTCAGCATCGGTATCGGTGGACCCGGATAATCTACCATTGAGACGCTCGATACTATCGGATGAAGCCAAGTCGAAAATCAGTCAACAGAGTAGCTGCTATTTTTGATCAGGGGCCTTATAACTCTTTCGCACAGCAACTTTTGAAAGATGCCCTCATCTGAAATACCGGGCTCATCACACATTTCTAAGCAAGATGCGATAGCTTTTCTATACAGAGGTAAGATTCTGTGAGACGACGTATCGTACCACTGCCTCGTGATGTCTGATGCGCGTTCCCGCCAGTCGGTACAGTCCACATCCTTCTCGCTCGCCCATTGCTGTAACGGCTTCTGGTGCCACAATTCCAGCAGAAGCACCGCGAGCTCCACCAGGACCTCTTTTCTCTTGGTCGCAGAATCCGTGAGGACGCTGCTGCGTTCTGGGAGGGGGACTCGCTGGGCGACCATGGGTTTCGAGACGTCGAGCCGGAGACCTTCGGTGAGGACACCGAAGAAGTTGACCTGGCTCTTGGTCAGAGCTGTTTGGATCCAAGAGGTGTCGTGCATTTGAAGGATGCAGCATGATAACGTGAGTGCTAAGAGCGCTCGCTGCGACCATTCCATGTGGCGGTCTTCATCGCCAAAGCTGTTGGTAAGGAATTCATCCAAATTGGTTGTCGCGTGAAGATCCCTGCAGTCGTGAGGCAAGTGCTTTCTCTCTTGGTCTTGGACGTAGCGTAGGTGATTTGCTGTCAGTCGGAATTCCAGGACCGAATGTGGTTCAGATGCCTCGTGGACCTCTTGACAGATGCTAATGCCCTCATCCTGCGTATTATTGCTTTGACGGGGAGAGCTCAAGAGAAAAATTAGTAGGCTCTTTGCTGTAAGCACAAGTATGAGCAGATTACTTACCGAGAAGTGGCTCTAGATAAACGGTTGGTATTGCCTTCGGCCCGCACTAAGGCTTTGTGACAATGTGCTTTGTTTGTATATTGGTCCATGGTCGCAAAGTATACCTCGAACGAGGTTCCGTCTGCTTGCGTATTCCTCGCATCTTGGGATCTCTGTGCATCCAAAGCAAGGAAACTGTCTACAAGCATCATGACTTCATGAGACCTGTGACATCCGGGACTGCATCCTCTTTCAATTGCCGTAAACAGAGACCTGACAAGATCTTGTATCTTTCGGAAATGTTCGGCTAGTTGCTGTGAGCTCTCCGTGATGTGTATTGGTTTTTGGCTGTGAAGTAGGATCATGCCATCAACAATCTGTGTGATCATTGTCGTCTGTTCGTGAAGAGTATCGATTAGTTCTTTGAAGTATTTGCGATCCAACGTGAATCGAACTCTGCTCCGAAATTGATATCCTCCTTTCTGTGTTGGATTCGCCGCCACTATCGAATGCAAGTCGTCAATTGCAGTCTAGATACATCAGTCGATCACAGTGTATGCTGAGAAGAGTCATCTGACTCACGTGTGGAAGTCTCTGTATTTCGACCAATTCAGCAGCGATGAGCTTCAGACATCTCTCATACGACCGAACGACCGACTGAAATCTGTCGAAAGAAGAGCGTAGATAATCTTGGAGCTTTCGAGCCACCTTCTGGTCCATGAGAAGTCGTATACAGTGTTGTTCATCCTGTAGCGCTTGACTATCGATTCCCGCAGCCATTAGAAGTGTTTCAAGCTTCAAGGAAATCACGCATCTCGCATTCTGCAAACGATGGATCAAAGTATCGAGAAGACCACGCCATTTCATCAACGAAGCAACGAGACCTTGTCCAGCCTTGTAGTTTTCTAGAGCTGAGATCACGATTGGTAACGCTCCCAGTACAAGCCCCGCAACTTCAATGCCTGACATTTTCAACTAGAGGAGTGTTTTAGGGCTCCAACGGCTCTCTGGGCGGGCCGATGTTGAGATTTTGACATTCGACTGTCGTACTCAGCCTTATCGCAAAGCCTTTCATGCGTACCCCGCAGCGTCTCGTTGTCATTGGCCAATAAGCTCAGAGCCTCAGGGAGGACTTGCTTCTTAGCCGCCTCCGGCCGTAGCGCGTGCTTACATCGCCTCTTGAGGTTGTAAGCTACTTCTGTCCTCACCAAAACTCCTTACTGGAATTAATTCGGATTATTGATCGCTAAAAAATCACAGGACTTTAAACCCGGGTCCGCTTTTCCGACCTTTGATGTAGGGCTATGGGGTCGACTCCGCAGCAAGCAGAAGAATTGCGTATTGCTGGGGAGTCATGTAAAAAGCGCTTTCACGACTTACTCGAGGCTTCGAAGCGAAGAGATGGATACATTCTGAATGTATTGTCGGAACGACGCACACTCATCCACTCACAACGATACGGCATGTGGACCGCAAATGTAGACATTCTCGAGACCGGTCCGCATTCTCTGGACTTCCGCCTCAACGAAAAGAAAATCTTGAGAGACTATGTCTTGGGTATCCTAACAGAAATTAGTCAACAGGTCTCCCGAGGGAAGCACCCATCATAGGTCTTGTTTGGATCTGCAAAGAATTAATTCTATTACAGTCATCACGATTGCGACCACTCCACGAGCGTCCATCACCAGGAAGCTGTATGCTGAGACGTCAGACTCTAGCCCGGATGTCGTCGAAGAAGACTTCAAGAGTCAAGACCCGCCTTTGGCCGTCAAGACGATCTACAATGCTTTAGCCGATGAAGAAGAGATCTGTGACGAAATCATAAGAGATCGACTCAACAGTCTCTTCGAGATCGCATCTGAGATCCCTTCTAACGAGGCATCTACACCTATTGAGCACGCGACATGCGCAGTTCAGAACGTCCAGAATGCTCTCACTCCTGGAGATGAACAACCAAATTCCTCGACGACAGGCGGGATTTATCCGACCCCGTTGAACTCAGCCAGGACCGCGGTCTCCGGCGTAACAACACAGCCAGGATATAGTGTAGAGAAGCCCACAGCTTCGAAGAAGGACAGATTTTCAATGAAACGCCTCTTCAATACTTCGAATAGGCATGTCACCATGGAGCTATAACGAGCGAATAACGCCATGAGGCTGACATGGTAGTCGCAGGAGAGAGTACCACATCGTCGTCCTAGGCGCCGGTATGATTTCTACCATCCATTCTCTACCCGTATAACAAAGCAAGTTCTGACGTTTTGGCAGGCGGTGTAGGGAAGAGCTGTCTGATAGGTCTGCCTCAATCTCACAGAGATGAGGTTCTAGTCGCTTACACCGCATCGCAGCGCAATTCGTACAAAACGCCTGGATCGAGACCCACGATCGCACAATAGAAGATTCGTACAGGAAGCAAACAGAAGTCGATGTATGTGGTTGCTCCAGCTCCAACTATGGCCAACCACTTCCACTTACTGCAACCAAGCTTGTTACTGACGTGTTTCAGGGACGGCAAGTCATCCTCGAGATGTATGACAAGAGCGCCCCCAGACAACAGCTGCAGCTAGCTAACAATCGCAACCCCACAGATTAGACACGGCAGGCGAAGAGCAATCCAGTATGCGCCAACGCAACCCTGCCTTAGCGGCCAAGCGCGAACTTTATATAAAATCCGGGCAAGGCTTCCTCCTCGTCTTCAACACCACGTCCCTCTCCTCCCTCGATAAGCTCTCCAGTCTACACGATCGAATAGTTCGTATCAAAAACGACCCTCTCACCCCACTGGTCGTCGTCGGCAACAAGTGCGACCTGAAGGAAGACCGCGCCGTTTCACAGGCCAAAGCCTTGGCGGTAGCTCAATCCTGGAATGCACCGTATCATGAAACGAGCGCAAGAGGGAGGACGAACGTGGATGAAGCATTTGTGGATCTCTGCAGGCAGGTAATCCGCAGGGATGTAGCTGCCGAGCAGACTAGCGTAATGGAGACTGAAGATCGAAAATGGATGGGCAGGCTTCATAGAGGGGCTAAGGAAATGAAGAAAAAAGGGAGCGTGAGGAGGGACTGTGTTATTCTATAACAGCGGTGGGGATATGCACCATCGCAAGTTACCATCTAACATGCATTCCTCGCCTCATTGACTCCCCAGCTGTAGTGTCTACCGTCATGCACTGGCGCCATTGGTATTCATTCATGCTACTCACGCCGCACATTTAGCAATTGTTGTTTTCCGCCAAAGCATCTCCTATCGAGTAGGCCACACAGGGGCATGAAAACTACAACCGTGGAATTCCCGTCACAGTCTTTGGTTCTTAGACAACCAGCCGAGCGAACGAGGCCGATCGGGGTCAATGGCAGCCGTTCAAAATGGCACATAGCGAAAGAGAACAGCGGAGAAGGCGAACAGAGACGGAAGACCAAAATAGAAACAAGGCTCCCAGCGGTCCAACCGTCGGTCTGGAGGTCTGAACCGGTCCAAAATGAAGCTAAACCGACGGTTCATGGTCGGTTCAAGAGACAAACCGGTCCACCGCTTAATGGACCGGTCCGACCGATAGTCTCGGCTAAATTAGCGAACTAATCTAAAGAGGGTTAAAAGTAATATGAATAAGACTAGAAAATTTAATAACTAATCAGATTTCCGTTGATTGAATATAATATTATCAAAAGTACACCTGTAATGATCAAACATTCACTCAAAAATATAGTCACCAAAACATCAAATTTGAACCGGTCCACTATTAGTCGACTAGTCCAAAGATATTATAAACCGGTCCACCGACTATTAACGAAATACTCATATCGGTCCATGAACCGATCTAATGGACCGGTCCAGACTATTAGTTGAACGGTTCGCGGTCGACCGCTGGGAGCCTTGAATAGAAACAATGTTGAAGAGTGCAACAAAAGAGGGGCGCGACAGGACGAGGTTGGTAACAGATTAATTCGAAGTCGCAACCGCGATTTTCTCGTTGATTCGCCCTCCAGAGCTAGCCGCGGACTCGTCGCTGCACTTTAAACCGTATCGCTCACCTGGGGTATGATATCGAAGCGTAGGTCATGGATTTCGTTCTCAGAAAAGGGAAGGCCACAAGGCAAGCGGCTCACCCCCGTGGAAGGGTGGGTCATCACCTACGCTCACGTAACGCTCGCCCGCGTTGCGCCAGCATGAAAGCGGCGCTCAACATAGATCTGAGGGGTGAGACTGGGGCACATTTCTCATGGCTTGGCATAAGAGAGCATCGAAATGGGTCTGCCTTGGCGTCACGCAAGTGGAAAGCAGCGGCCAGTTGGAAAGGGACCCTTTCAAGCCAATACTCGGCCGGGCTTGTGCCGTACGGAATCTGTCATATTACTTGGTGGTAAACCACCAAAGATTGAGGGACTGAACCTAAACAGCGCTGCCCCAGTCGTGATATTATGATGACAGATGACGGGATGGGCACTTTGACCAATCAAGTGTGTTCCTAGTCTGTTTGGTGGTCGTAGGGCAAGAATTTAAGTGAGGTAACTCAAGTACTCAAGCCTCGGCTGCAAACTACGCCGAACAATACCGCTGTCCTTGCCAACATCTTAGCTGTCCGCTACACATGGGCACCATTCTTTGACTTAAGGAGAGAATTTTCGGGTATCTTACTAATCGAGAGCTGCGCCTCAGAGACGTCAGAGTATCTTGCATCAGCGATTTTCCACCTTTGTGGGAACCCTGGAAGAAGAAAGGTCTCATACCAAAGCCATTCGCTGTCATGCAGTTCTGAGTCGTTACGCACCTACGTGCATGTGTGCTCGAATTCAAGCGCTTGGAATCATTCGTTCCATAACCCTCGTACCGTGACTCAGTTTTGGTAGCTACCAACCATGTAGGGGTTTTTCTAGTTATTCCTGGAGTCTGAGCAGTCGGTACCGTTCTAGGACCAAGCGTTATTAATCATCATCGAGCGCTTCGACTTTTCTCGTTCATTTTTGCCCATTGGCATGGGCTTTTTCCTTTTCCTCGAGATGTCGCAAAACGATCTGTAGCCACTGTTAGACTTTGGTATTGCAGTCCGCAGGATCTAGTGCTCACCAGGATCTTTAAGACATTCACATGCAGGATCTCGTTGCTGCATTCCTGGAACTGTTCGGTGATTCGATGCAGGGACTGCTGCTGCACCCCTTGAGATATGATATTCGGCCGAAAGTGAGACCAGTCGAGACAGGCATGGGTGGTGCAATGCATGGACTCGCCAATCAGGGATTCTCATCATCGCCAATTGAAAAATGACAGCCGCTAGCGCCTGCATACCAAGGGCGCCTCATTTCGCCTTCTGGAGGTCTTCTTTCTCCCTCAGGACATCTATCATTGTGCTCTCCATTACAGAGCCAAGATGTTCAAGGTCGGCGTGTTCAGGAGCAGCCACCCATCTCGCATCGCTATTCGTATCTCTCGCACGTAGTCCTTTCGCCGTCCCCTCTCTCAACGCTTCCATGGTCCCTTATTTCGGCGTTCAAAGGAAACAACCTCTTTGGCACTTCTATGCCAACACGCGTTTTCAGGCCACAGACCGATGATGAGGCATACAAACAAGCATATTATCTGGCCAAGGACAATCTATGTTCAGCCAATGTCAGTCGCGTGTTCAAGTACCGGAGAAACCCCGCCGCAGCCGCCTCGTTGTAGGGAGGAGCCAGCAAGAAAGCCACGTCACGCCCAATTCCTCAGTGGCCTCCTCAAATTCGTCGTCGTCGCCCTAGTAGGGATCACGATGACATTTCCTTGCTCTATCGGCCCCATCATCGCCCCAACGAAGAGGCGTCTTGGTATCCAAATCATCCGCGCTGCGAGGAAGAGACCCCGTCGAATATATCTGCTTCGCCTCGGTCAGTCTTGTCCTCAAGCTTTCGAGCTTTGATCGGTCCGGTTCTTTCGTTAGATAGCTGAAAAGTGTCAGCAGAAACTCCTGATATATCGAATGCAGCAAGAGAGCATCTACATTATGTTTCATATAGTTCTTCAGCTCATCGTCTGCACAGAATTGAGAAAACATAGCCCGCCAATCGAAGCTGATCTCCCGCTGTTCTTCATCGACGACCCAGATCGGGTACTCTGGTGTCGTTTCTGACTGCACGGAAACGGACCAAGTGTCTAAAACGCCCAATGCCAGAGTCGGCAATGCAGTAAGACACACGTGACATGATCTCTGGAAATAAATCCTCTGTACCACCCTCAAGCTTGAAGACAGCCGTCTCGCCTTCATTGGCAAGGCGATCGAATCCAAACGAAATTTCGCTGAGGTAAACGTTAAACCCAAGTATTTCTTCAGACTCCCAGATACCTGATTCCGCTTCAGCAAGGTCCATTTTAGGGCTGAGACCGGACCGACCGCAATCGAACGTGATGGTCGTCGTTATCAGATACTTGGTCCTAAACATGCGCTCAAAATGGGCGAATTACTAATTCATACCCCAAAAGTATGGATCCTTACCGAATCATACCCCTAATTACTGAATCATACCCCTACACCAAAATCCACCCAAATATGGGGTATGATTCGGTAATTTGCCATTGCTTGGGGTATGATTTAGTAAGAATTAGTACTTGCCATAGTGGTCTACTTAGATAGCCTACTTGTAGATACAACTAGATACCTATTAGAAATTATCTCTTTAGGGCCCCTACGGAGGCCTAAATAGGGTGGTCTGCAGCCTACTCCGGGTCGATTATCTAGCTAGTAAGACCCCTAGAGCTAATCTAAGTATTTTAATCTTTTAGGGTAAGAGGGCCCCGAAAGCGTCTTCGGGGGAGTGAACCTCGTAAATCTTAAAGCGTAGTGGCCTTCGAGGGGTCGTAATTGCCTCTACTCGATTTTCATCTAATATTTTCAGCGGTTGGAGAAAATCCCTTACTTCTATAATCAGACAGGCTAGATCGCGGATTGTCTCCTTTGTAAATTACCAAATCATACCCCAAGCAATAGCAAATTACCGAATCATACTCCATATTTGGGTGGGTTTTGGTGTAGGGGTATGATTCAGTAATTAGGGGTATGATTCGGTAAGGATCCATACTTTCGGGGTATGATTCGGTAATTCGCCCGCTCAAAATCATCTTTGAATTGTCTACAGACGTTTCTGCAGTCTGTCCATAGGCGAACGAGATCATGGTTTTTTAGAAAGTTGGAAAGGACCATCGGCCAAATTTCGGGTGGGAAACGGGTTTTGTGACCTGAGAAGACGCCATTGCAGTGAGCTTCTAACCAATCGATTGGATCAAGCATTCAGAAAAGCTATTGAAGGAAGTTGAGTATCGCAGGGAAGAGAGGAGAGGTGAAGAGGTTGCTTTGGGTGGCTCCCGGGTAGCAAAAAAAGCCGGATTGGCCCCCAGAGTTAGAGGCTGGCTGCTGGCTTAGGATCTACGTTGATAAGGTTGCCTTACTTGTATCCCCGCTGCCTTAAGCCCGGAGGAATAACTATTTTGATCAAATCCAATTTTTGAAATTTACATAACCACGAACGCGTTTATTCCCTTAAATACTACGATAAATTATATTAGAGTCTTTAAGCTTTCGTTCGAGATCTCTTTAAACTTATTACGATATCTAAAATTTTATTATTATTAGAAAATTAAGTTTTAAGCGAAAATTATTTAAAATATCTTAAAGATTATATTATTTATTTATTTAATAAAGCGTATTATTTAATTTAGAATAGTATTAAAGCGAAAGTCGTTAAAATATCTAAATAATTAGAGAAATTTTAAATCTTCTATAAGACGTTTTATTAGAGATTTCTAGAAATATCTTTATAAAAGAATTTAAATGCGAGTAGATATAAAGTTTAATAATAATAATAATAATATATAAATTAGCTATTTAGATTTAGATTTAAATTAAAAAATATAAAAGAGAAAATAATAAATTTCTTATTATAATTCTTAAATTACGTTATTATTTTTATTATAAACGCGTTATTAGAATATAAAATAATTATAAAATTTATAAATAAGATTATAAAGATTAAATATCGCGAGAATAATTTAAATTAAAAGATTATAAATAATATTAATATTATAATTTATAGCGATCTTAAAATTATAGAGCTTTTAAAACTTTTAAATTATAATTTTAAAGAAGATAATTTATAGACTTCTATCTATTTAATATATTAACTTTTAAATAATAACTTTTAATTTAAAATCTTTCGCGTTAAAAATATATTTCTTTTTATCAAAAAATTATTATGATTATTATTTTTTAATATTATAATCTTAATTATATCTAATATCTTTATAATAATAATATATATAATTAAAGTAAAAATAATAAATTTATTAAATAATAAAATTTAGAATATTATAAAGAGTAAGTTTAATTAATTTAACTTTATATTATTAGATATTATTAAAATATATAAAATTAAATATATTAATTAGCTATTAAAATATAATTATTAAAAATCGCTAAAAATATATAGATTAATTATCGTTATATTTTATTTTTCTAAAATTATTAATCTTATAATAAAAAGAGATCTTATTTAAAAGAGTTAAATATATATCTACGAGTACTTTATATATAATATTAATTTTAAATAATACTATAAATATTAGAGCTATAAATATAAAAAGTATTTTTATTATATTAATATAAAATATAAAAGATATAGCGCTTATAATTATATTAAAGTAGACTATTAAATTAAATATCTCTATTATTATTATTATAAGTAAATCGAATATAATTTAAAAAAATATATATTTTCGAGAAGAAAGAAGAAAATAAGAAAATATATTAAAAAATAGATAAATAAATATTAGGCCTTTTTAAAATTCGAAGAATATATTATTATATAAACGACCTTATTTTAGAATATTTAATAAGTTTTTTTTTTAAATATTAATAGTTTAAGTAGTCTTTTTATAGTAAAAAAGAAGGAAATCCCTTAGCGTAAAAATATTTATATAGATTTTTAATCGTAGATCTTAATAAAAGCTTTATTTAGAAATATATTTAAGAAGAGCGATATTTATAATTAAGTTTTAGAGAGAATTATAATTTAGATATTAAAGTCTAATAAGAGAAAGATAAGCTTTATAAATTTTAATCTCTATATTATAATAATAGTAAGCCTAAAAGAAGTAATTAAATATTTAAATATCTCGATATATTTCTTTAAAAGATAGAAGAAAAATAAGAATTCTAAAGACTCTATACTCGATATATTTTTAAATATATTAATAATTAATATAAATAATATAAAGTTAAATAAGAGAAACTCTAATAATATTAGTAATATTTTATTTATATAGTAATTATAAGTAGAAGAATTATAATATATTTTTTTAGAAGAATAAGTTTAAATATTATTAATAAAGAAAGTTTAAAAATATATAAAGATTATATAAATCTCTAAATCGACTTTTATTAACTCTTTTTTCTTTTAATCTATCTTTTAAATATTACTATCGCTCTTAATATTAATTATTTTAAAAAACTCTAATCTTAAACTTATTTCTCTTTATATTAGATATTATTACCGCGATTTAAATCTTACTATTCTTAATTTATTCTTATTAAACTTATTAAAGAGCTTATTATTAAGAATTTATTTATTTATTATTAAGTTAATCTTAGAAATACTTACTTATTATAAAGATAAGTATAATAAAAAAGCGAATAATAGTAGAGTTAATAGCGTCTTTATACGACGCTAAAAAATAGTTTAATCTTTATATCTTAATAATATCTAAATTAATTCTCTCTTTATTAAGAAGTAAAAGATTAAAAATTATCTCTTATAATTATTAGAGATTAAAAGATTTAATTATAGCGAACTTTCTTTATAATTTAAAAGTAAATAATTATAATTTAATAGTAATCTAGAAATTCTAAATTAATATATAAATAATAATTACTTATTACTTAATTAAGATTTTTTATAATTTATATTACTTAAATAATAAATATTATAATAAGAGAAGAAGTTAAATATATATTTTTATATATAAATATATCTCTCTAATAAATATCTTCTAACTTATAATATTCTTATTTATTAATATTTTAAATTTATAAATATAAAGATTTAGCTTTAAATGTAAATACTAAAAAATATTAATATTCATTTAATCAATATATATAATCTCTTAAAGAATTAAAATAAATTAATTTTAGAGAAAATACTATTTTAAAGATCGCTAGAGATATTTAAAAAGATTATAAATAATAATAAATACTTTTATCGCTTAAGATAGGGTTAAATAATAAAAATTATTATTATAAACAATTTTAATATTTATTATTTTATCTAAAAAGAAAGCTATATTAATATAAATTCTAAGATAATTAAATTACTTAAAATTATAGATAAATTTTAATTTATATAATAATTATCTCGAGATATTAAAACGTTTAAGTCTCTTAATTTAATACTTTATATATTAAATCTCTACTTTATAATAGAGAGTCTAAATAATTATATCATTTAGTATTAAATATAAAATAATCTAGATATTATATTAAATTATTATTTAATAGAAATTAAAATAAATATTATAGTTAAGATAACGAAGTTCTTAATAAATTATAATTACTTTAAAATAAATAAAGCGCTATATAATAAAAAACTTACGTTTTAAATTTTCTAAATTTTAAAAAAATCCTTATTTAGAAGATTTAACTTCTTCTTTTTAAAGGTTTTAAAAACTATTTATAATTCTTTTATTTTTATTACTTTTAAAAATAAGAAGAGAGACTTTTAAAAATCTAGCTTTAATAAAGAGTATAAAGAGATAAATCGATTAGTATAAAATACTCGTCGACTTTATTAGAAGCTTAAAGTCTCTTTTAATATTTATTATTTTTATATAATTAGAATAAGAAAGTATATTAATAATTAAAATAACGCGAAGAGATAAATAATTTATATAAGCTTTATAAAGAATTATCGAATTAAGCTTATAAAAGTAGTAGATAATATAAGTAAAATATAAAAGCTTACGAAGTAGATATAGAATTAAGTAATATTCTTTTTATTATTTATTTTAGATCTAAAATACCTCAATAAAATAATAATAATATTTAAGAAGAATAAGATAGTTATTTTTATTAGAAGGTTCTTCCCCAAGTCTTTAATAGTCGATTTAGACAATTTAAAAAGATATATTTACTCGAAGTTACTTTTAATTCTAAAAATCATCTAAAAGAAAATCTTAGTAATAATTCGAAAATCGCCCTTATAGAACGTCTTAAGAGAAGATAAATTACTTGATATTATACTTTAATAAGATTTAATAATCTTATAAAAGTCTCTTATATAATTATTTAATAAATATTTAAAATATAAATATTATCTTATTAACT